CCAGGAAATAACCACGACACCTACTGCTGTTGGTGCTGTAAATCTTTTAAGCTAGCGACGATGGGTGTTAAGGCCCTGGACTCCCATATGAGCGGTGCCAAACACACCGCGTGAAGACCTCCGTAAAGTTGGCACCCCATAAAAACAAATAATCCCCAAAACTATGCCATTCGTTTGTGCTACGTTTGTGCTGATTTGTGTCACAAAAACGAACGTTTGTGCTGGTTTGGGGTCTGAGATATTAAGCATTATTTTTTTGACCGTGTGACGTCACTTTCCAAAATCACAATCCAAACTGGTCTCATTTGTTTGTGCTCGATTTGTGCCGTTAAAATAAACACTTTATCTATGTTTATTGATTAGACATTGCCTAATCAAAACATTTCGGGAGCCGCAACGTCACTCAGCGCCCCATTATTTCCTCTAAATTGCACAAAACAGGTGTCTGTTGGGCTGGGTGACGTCGGGGCTGCCGAAATGCTTTGATTAGGCAATGTCTAATCAATAAACATAGATAAAGTGTTTATTTTAACGGCACAAACCAGCACAAATCGAGCACAAACAAATGAGACCAGTTTGGTGTGATTTAGACAACTTGGGGTGAAGAATGACGTCACAGATTCCGAAATATTTTGATTATATCTAAACAACGAAAATAGATAAAGTGTTTATTTTAACGGCACAAACCAGCACAAATCCAGCACTAACGAAAGACGCCAGTTTTGTGCGATTTAGAGAAAATGGTGTGGAGAGTGACGTCACGGCTCCCGAAATATTTTGCTTATATCTAAAAGAGGAAAACAGATACCGTGTTCGTTTTAACGACACAAACCAGCACAAATCGAGCGCAAACGACCTGTGCTGTTTTGAAGTCATTTGCGCAACATGGGGTGGAAAGTGACGTTACACGGTCAAAAAAATAATGCTTAATATCTCAGACCCCAAACCAGCACAAACGTTCGTTTTTGCGGCACAAATCAGCACAAACGTGGCACAAACGAATGGCATAGTTTTGGGGATTATTTGTTTTTATGGGGTGCCAACTTCACGGAGGTCGCGTGAAGTACTGCTCGTCAGCGCCAACCACCTATTGTGCGGTTCTGTGCACTGGAGACCTCTTCGGTTACTAAAACAGCTTTGGCTATTAGTAATGAAGAAATGTATACATTAGAAGCATTGCCACCACAGCCAAGGAACATCCAGGCAGAGGTGATGTGGGTCCTTAAAGCAATCTCTGAGCACCACTCTTACACATCGAATGAGAACATTACAGAGGTCTTTAAAACCATGTTTCCAGACTCCGAGGTTGCAGATACATTTTCCTGTGGAAGCAACAAAACTGCATCTATTACTTAATTCGGATTGGCTCCTATTATTACTAAAGAACTGACTGACCAGGTCAATAAGGCCAACTGGTTTGTGGTCATGTTTGACGAGAGTCTCAATAAGATGACGAAAAGTAGACCTTCATATTCGCTACTGGGTGAACGACCACGCTGTTGTGTATGTATTAATTATAACTGATAATTTAAATAAAATGTTTTATTTAATTCAAGTAGCCCTCTTGTACATAATTATTTTCTTGGGTTCAATATTTATACATATTTGACAGTTTTCCACTCATACTTATGTCGGAATGGGTATAAAGTTGGCATTGAATTTCATTTGAAAAGCTATTGAAAGGTCTTAAAAAGCCTTGAATGTCATTTGGAGGATCCTGGGGGTACCCTGGAGTGAGACTGATTAGAGAGTGATGGCAAGTTTATTCATTCATTTTCTTTTCGGCTTAGTCCCTTTATTAATCAGGGGTCGCCACAGCAGAATGAACCGCCAACTTATCCAGCACATTTTTATGCAGCAGATGCCCTTCCAGCCACAACCCATCTCTGGAAAACAACCATACAAACTCATACACTACGGACAATTTAGCCTATCCAATTCTCCTGTACCCATGTCTTTGGACTGTGGGGAAAACCAAGCACCCGAAGGAAACCCACGCGAACGCAGGGAGAACATGCAAACTCCACACAGAAACGCCCACTGACCCAGCCGAGGCTCGAACCAGCGACCTTCTTGCTGTGAGGTGACAGCACTACCTACTGTGTCACCTGTGATGGCAAGTTTTGCTTTCTAACTACATAACTGAAAACTTGCTAGATATAGTTTTTCGTTCAGATTTGTAGCATAAAGTTTTTTTAACTGGCGAATGATATGATCTAGTGGGTCTCTGTTATCTTTAAAGTGCACGTTGGTGATTTCAGGAGGTGTAGCTTTGGACGACAGGGGAGGGATTGTATTTGAAAGATATTACGCTAACCGGTTAGCATTTAGGCAGATCACCAACTGCACCTTTAATGTTCCATTGATTCAGATAATCTGGTCAGTGAGTCAACAGTTAAAAAACAGTTGAATTCACTAATTGAAATAATCAACAGTGTGATCGACACCAAACAACTTCCCTGTACAAAGGATCATGGGGACCATGAGGAAAAGTCAACAGTTGCACCCTTCAAAATCATTCATCAAGGCCCTTCAATATGGCAGCCATGATTGTTTTCACTTTGAAATGCCTTCAGAGGGTGATATATCCTGCTTGGAACTCCCTAATCCAGTTAAACAAATCACTTATTCAAAATAATCCTGTTCAAGCAAGTCTCCGTTTTGCTTTTTTCACTTGTAATTAGTAGTTACAAACATATGAACCGTTTAAATGAAAATAAGTTTCACTTTTTAATGGTTACTTTTTACAGTGTCCTTTAACTACGCAGGAATATTAATTAACTACATGTATGTATTTTGTTGTTATTTTATGCAAGTTATTTTTAGGGTTGGTTGCATGTAATTGTGCATCATTAATTGTAATTATTTTAGTAAATATACAGAATGTGTAACAAGGACACCTTAAAATAAAGTGTTTTGTTAACATCGCTTCATTTTCTTCCACGTTTCGTTTGTCTTTTTCTAAAATGGATTAAATTGATTATTTTCCTCAACATTTTATGAACAACACCCTGAAGTGACTAGTTTTCCAGTTCCTGCCACCCAAAAATATATCACAGCAGATCCCCACATCAATGTTGAGTGTCATGGTACAGATTTTTATATATAGTTTTTTATAAGTATATAAATTGGGAAAGTTTACATACAAACTCACATTACAGTGGTAATGTGTGTCACATTTTAAGGGAAAAAAATGAATGAAATTAAATTTCGAATAAGTCTGTAACATAAAATGTGGGGAAAAAGGTGTTTCAATATTAAATAAATACAAATGTACAAATATACACTCACCGGCCACTTTATTTGGCATACCTTACTAGTACTGAGTTAGACTTTCAGAACTGCCTTAATCCTTCATGGTATGGTGCTGGAAATATTCCTCAGAGATTTTGGTCCATATTGACCTGACAGCATCACGCAGTTGTTGCACATTTGTCAGCTGAACATCCATGATGTGAATCTCCCGTTCCACCACATGCCAAATATGCTCAATTGGATTGAGATTTGGTGACTGTGTTGGCCATTTGAGTACAGTGAACTCATTGTCATGTTCAAGAAACCAGTCTGAGATGATTGATGCTTTTTGACATGGCGTGTTATCCTGCTGGAAGTAGCCATGAGAAGATGAGTACACTGTGGTCATAAAGGGATGGACATGGTCAGCAACAATACTCAGGAAGGCTGTGGCGTTGACACGATGCTCAATTGGTACTTATGTGCCCAAAATGTGCCAAGAAAATATCCCCCACACCATTACACCACCACCAGCAGTCTGAACTGTTGATACAAGGCAGGATGGATCCTTGTTGTTGATGCCAAATTCTGACTCTACTATCCAAATGTTGTAGCAGAAATTGAGACTCATCAGACAGGCAACATATTTCCAATCTTCTATTGTCCAATTTTGGTGAGCCTGTGCAATTTTAGCCTCAATTTCCTGTTCTTAGCTGACAGGAGTGATCCCCGGAGTGTTCTTCTGCTGCTGCAGCCCATCAGCCTCAAGGTTGGATGTGTTGTGCATTTAGAGATGCTCTTCTGCATACTTTGGTTGTAACGCGTGGTTATTTGAGTTACTGTTCCCTTTCTATCAGCTGCAACCAGTCTGACCATTCTCCTTTGGCCTCTGCCATCAACAAGGCATTTGTGCACACAGAGCTGCCGCTCACTGGATATTTTCTCTTTTTCAGACCATTCTCTGTAAATGTAGATGGCTGTGCATGAAAATCAGCAGTTCTGAAATACTCAGACCAGCTCTTCTGGCACCAACAGCCATGCCACGTTCAAAGTCACTTAAATCAGCTTTCTTCCCCATTCAGATGTTTGGTTTGAACTGCAGCAGATCGTCTTGACCATGTCTACATGCCTAAATGCATTGAGTTGCTGCCATGTAATTGGCTGATTAGAAATTTGTGCTGACGAGCATTTGGACAGGTGTACTTAATAAAGTGGCCGGTGAGTATACATTACATTATTTACATTAAACTTACATTAAACATTCACCCACCATAACTTTTGACTTTATAAGCACCCAAAATAATCAAGTATTTTTCTAATAAATTTTATCTACATTTTATTTGTGTACTTCCACTGCAAAACACCACAGATGACCTCTTTGCTTTTACATGAATCGTAAACATGTAAAAGAAATAACTCAGGAAGCATTATTTCCAACATAAAACACGTACATTTTTTATAACTTTTTAAAAACAAAGTTAAAATAACGTTACACGTGGCATTTTACTTCATTATTATCAGGTCTGCAAGTTAATATTTTAATAAAAAAAAAATACTGTAATTACACCTGCATTACACGATAAACTTTTTTCACAAGCGACGCTAATGCTGTTTTATACAATGCAACGAAATTTGCAAAACATTTTATACATGACACGTCAAAGAAGATACCTTAATAGTACTAAATAATTATATTCAAATACTCTTTAAATATGTAAACACTCACTCTACGTATATATTTCTGTGCTGCGCCTGAAATTGTCTTCTGATCCTGGTTGCCAGGCAGTCAGAGTCAGACACCTATGGTCAGACACATCATGACGACACCGGAAACGACGTGTGGCTGCAGCCATTTTTGTGACAATTTCAGGACAACAGGACTAGGACAACAGTTTCAGGCTGAGCCGTAATACACAACGAAGTTGCACAGAATTATGGCTGAAAGCCCGGTAAGTTGTGTTTTGACGTTATGTTATATTCATAGCGACGTTACCAGTGAACAAATGCACTCGGGGTGAATGCTTATCTGCACGCGACAAGTGCGAAGTCAAGGAAGCAAATCCATGATCGTGTTGACTAAGTTAGTGTCGCTGCAAACTCTCGGTCGAAGTTTTTCATTCATTTTCTTTTCGGCGTAACCCCTGCATTAAAATATGGAAGGCCGTTGGGGCCAAAACGTCTGCAACAAACGTGTTAACGCGTAATTGCGTGTTAACACGTAATTTACGCGTTAACACGTCATTTACGCGTTAACACGTTGGTACGTGTTAACACGTCATTTACGTGTTAACACGCAATTTACGTGTTAACACGTTTTTTTTAAACTAGTCTCATTTTTTAAAGTGCTATCATTTATTCATTCTCCAAACTGCTTTTTTAAAAATGTATAATGTCATGTATTGTATTATGAAAGGCCAGACATCTTCTGTAATGTTATGTTTGATGGTATAATAATGTATAATAATAATAATGTTTGTTATTCAGCTGCTGAGATTACTTTGAAAAATGAGTCCAGAGAAATCAGAATGAGATTAATTTGACAAGGGTGTGCAAACACACAAGAAATGTTTTTTTTCTTCTCAGGAGCACAGATACATAAATACAAATCAACACAAGAAAACAGAATGACATAAGTGGATAAAGTAAATACAACATTTTGGTAACAAAATCATAAACAGTAAGGGTTGTGTATATTTATGACTATAAAAACAGGCAGCAACTAATCTAATAATGAAGATCTATAGAGATAAAGATGTGTAGAAAGGTCAGGCAGATGCACAGAAATAATCCTCTGTGCTGACAGTCCGCTGCAGTCTTATGTCTGATTTGGTGGCCGATCCAAACCAGACAGTAATTGAATTTTTGTCAGAGGAAATGGCTGCAGATTCTACATTCTCATACTGTATATAACATGTCATAAATTACTAAGCACAAATTATTAAATGCAGAGTAACCTATCTTGCTGAGGTTTATGTCTGCAAATAATTTACATATTGTATGACTAACATTTTATAGCAATCCGGTTTTCTTTATAATATATATTTATGCATGTAATATATATTTGTTTGCAGAACTTTGCACTAGATATTTTTGTCTCTGTACTGGAAGCTCCAATCACCAAGACAAAACACTCCTTTGTGTAAACGATTGAGGTAAAAAAAAAAAAAGCCAAAATTATGATTTACTAAATCAAAAGTACAAGATAAAGTCAAAATAATGATTTAATAACGCAAATTTATGATTGAATAATTCTGTAAAAATTACATTACAACAACAGGCGGTAAAAAAAAAACAATCTAAATGTGTAACAATTATCTAAATATTTTGTATAATAAAACCTGATATAGTTAAAATGTTTTACATAATTGAACATTCATGTACATATTTGTGATTATAATGGACACACACACACACACACACACACACACACACACACACACACCTTTACCTTTGAACTTGTGGGGGAAACCAGAGCACCCAGAGGAAACACAAGCCAACACAGGGAGCAGGAATGGGCAAAAATACACTGAACCACATTTTAAAATAAAATCCCAAATCCATCAATTTTACATGTATCAATATAAACTACAAAATACAGCAGCCACAAATGTATCAAAGTAAAGTTCTATATATCTTTTATTTTAAAATACACAAAATACTTTTACAAGCGAGCAGGAAATTTCGTCACGAAATAGGCATATTTGGTCACCGTTCACCGTTACACTGCTTACATGAAGTAAACAATGTTTGACAGCAACAGGGCTTGAGCAAGTTTAAATCAGCTTACCGGTCAACGCATTTACCTCTACATGAGGCATTTATAAACTCGTGTTTCTCTTTCATTAAAAAAAAAAAAAAAATTGTACAAAATACATACAGAAAGTCCTGTCTTGAAAATGATCTCTTTAAAAAAAAAAACATGTATTGCAGATAATGAGTTAGACTAGATCTCATCATTGTGTTTTCATCCATTGAGTGGCCAGTAAAATTTACATAATCTCTTAACAGTCTTATATTTTAAAAGGGTGTTATATAAAGAGGTTATTAAAATTGTTTACTTTAAGTCTAGTTTTGTTTAAAAGGTGTAACAAAGAATTTGTAAAAATATATATACACAACATATTTGTGAAATAATATGGAATTAGAACTTAAATCTCAAAGTACACAAAATACTATATAGCAACGGAAACGCAATAATGGTACAATAAAGGTTATTTGGCTTTAAGGCTTGATCCAACTACAAAAACACTAGTGACCAATATCACAACCACAAGTGAACAATAAAATTATAAGAAATATAAAATTAATTAATTAATTGCTACTGCTACTGCTACTATTCCTATTCCTATTCCTATTCCTATTCCTATTCCTATTCCTATTCCTATTCCTATTCCTATTCCTATTCAGAGCTGGGGAGAAGTGTTCCTCAGCTCTCTAGCTTCAGAGGGCTGTATTTAAAGCCAAAACACTCTGATTCAGGCAGATTCATAATGATTAGCAGCTGGGAGCTAATTAACCTGAGAGCTGGTGAGAGACCAGGGTGGAAAAGCAGGGTGGAGCACAACACAATATGTAGGGCCTACACATAAAATTGTGTTTTAGCGGTAACAAATGCAAAACATAAAACATGACATCTGTAAAAACATGACATCTGTAAAAATGGACTTATCTGTTTTTGCGAAGTCTGGAGTCTAGAGTTTTTGACCTGTCTGTATAGGCTGGAGTATTATTAAATGTGTGTCTCATATACTGTATAGTGCCACTTTGCTATCTTTAGACTGACATCTTTCCTCTTCATTAACTATATAAGTGCACCTGCAGATCAAAATTCTGACATTTGAAAGAATCAATGAAGTAGGTGTCACCACTGTAGGACTTATTTTTATGTGGTGTGTCTTATTGTCTTGGCATCTACATCAGCAATCCATCCATTTGTGCAGTTTACTCATTTTCTGAAGATTTTTTTAGTTCTTCTTTAACTTCTCTAAAAGTCTTCGTTTACCCCCTTGGTGAACTCCAGTACACCGTCTTTAGGTGTTTTTTTTTTTCCATTATATTATATTTTTTCATGGTATTGTGCAGTATACCATTTTCAATGATTGTTGCCTTGCTCTCAAATACACCCCTGCCATTTGTCTGTTATTTTCTTTATATGAGCATAATTTCCATTAATACTTCAAGCATTGATGACCTTCTTAATACATTTTCTGTTCTGATCTCAAGTCTGGGCAAACAACTGAGAAAACATCAATCAGAGGCCGCATTTTATGTCATTATGTAGACTTTCAAAGTATTTTACAGTATTTAAAAAATACAAAATACAAGACACTAAAGTATTTTGATACAAAATATAAAACCATTTTCATTAAGCATGCAAACTTCACACAGAAACACCAACTGACCCAGCCGAGGTTCAAACCAGTAATCTTCCTGCTGTGAGGCAACAGTACTACCCACTGCGCCACCGTGTTGCCCATTTTTTCAAAATTTAAAAAAATAATATATATATATATATATATATATATATATATATATATATATATATATATATATATATAATTTAAATATGAACTTGTATTTCATATACTTTGCAGATATTCACATTTTATCACATTTTATATGGCTTGATAGCAAATCATATTTACAGTTATTTGAATACATCATGCACAAAGTATTTATATTTCCATTATTCTGTGTGATATATGTGTACTATAAGATGTGGCCATGTGTATTATTGGTGTTTTTAGGCCTCTAAATACTTTAATGTATCACCACACTGGAGTGAAAATCCTTTTAATAGCGTTCTAGTCATGCTGCTTGCTTTCATATAAGAACCAACTAAATGTGACACTGCATAATTAAAAAAAGAAAAAAGAATTAAAGAAATATGTCTTTATAAGAGTTATCATTATCTGAAAATGAATATATATATATATAAAATTAAATGATAAATTTATAAATTTATTTATATGATATTTATTTGTAATTATATACTGTTTTATATTATATAATTGATTTGGTAATACTTTACAATAACAGTACTTTAATAATGATGTATTAATATGCAAACTAAACATTAGTTTATTATAAATTCATAATTCATGATGGCGACGTGGTGGCACAGTAGTGCTGTTGAATCACAGCAAGAAGGTCGCTGGTTTGAGCCTCGGCTGGGTCAGTTGGTGTTTCTGTGTGGAGTTCTGTGTGCATGTTCTCCCTGGGTTCGCTTAGGTTTCCTCCGGGTGCTTTGGTTTCCCCCACAGTCCAAACACATGCGATACAGTTAAATTAGGCTAAATTGTTCGTAGTGTATGAGTGTCAATGAGTGTGAATGGATGTTTCCCAGAGATGGATTGCAGCTGAAAGGGCATCTGCTGCATAGAACATATGCTAGATAAGTTGGCGGTTCATTCTACTGTGGCGAACATAGATTAATAAAGGGAGTTAGCCGAATAGAAAACGAATGAATGATTTTATGATAAGCTAATGCATGCAGTAATCATGAACTAACGTAAACTACAACATGAGTCACATGAGTTCATGTGTGAATAACAGCTACCTTAATTAATTGTTAGTACATGCTGTTGATTAATGTATTAATTCACATTTAAGTTTAAGCTAAAAGTAATTAACGTGAACTCATAAGTTGTTAATGTATAATTATGTAATGACTTGGAGGGGCAAATTACTGTTAACTCACCCTTAACTACTCATGAATTCCTGTTCATGTTTATGCTGACAGAACACTTTTCTATTGTTTTTCAGTGTAACATACTAGATGGACGTGCATAAGGAGTTTATGAGTAGTTAAGAATGGATTAATGATGATGTGACCCTCCAAGTAAAGTCACAATATAATTATACATTAAGATATTATGAGTACATGATGGTTAAATTAGGCATAAACATGTACTAACAATTAAGGTAGCCGTTATTCACACATGAACTC